AAGAGTTCAAACATCTGTAGTTGAATATATATATATATATATATATATATATATATATATATATATATATATATATATATATATATATATATATATATATATTACACAATTGTGAATATCGAACTATTAAAACACAACCCAATTTAATGTATTTTATGAAAAGAAGCTTTTTACTGGAGTCTTTTTGTACCTCACATTTGTTACCAGGGCCCTTGTGTGAAGCAAAGAATAGTAACACTGCACCCTGCAGACGAGTAAGGGTAGGGTCGCGCTTGATGTTGGCTACCACTTCTTAAAAAAAGAAAAAAAAAAAATACGATAGCCACAAAAATAAACAAACTAGGGACAAGTTAAACAATGTCAGCCATGATGACTGTGGCCAAAAAAAAAAAAAAAAAATGTGCTGGGAATTTTCTCCTAATGCAGGAATGATGATATTGTGTTGAGAAAGCCAAAAGCAGTACTGATCGTTGAGGCACCTCTTTGACTTAAAAAAATCCTAATAACTGGCACAGGAAATGTCAGAACTTTTTACGATGTACGGAGGGCAGTAGACGTAGTAAGAAAAGCTAAACATTTTAGGATTAGTTTTTTATGAATATGTGAAACTAGATGAGTTTTTAAAGACGAGTACACAAATTTAAATATCTAATCATATGGATAACATCAAACGGAAGATGAATCACAGAGGTAAAACACATAACAGGACAGGCCAAAACTGTATTTTATAAAATAAAAAACATTGTACAATAAATCATTGGGGGTTAGGAAAATAATTATGACAAGCTATGTAGAACCAGTTTTATTGTATAGCTGTAAATTCTGGACAGTTGAAAAACAAGCCAAAAAATTTCTGGAGGCCTTAAAGATATGGTCTTTTATAATATTACTCAGAATTTCTTAGACAGACAAAAAGAGCAACCCAAATTTGTTTAAGCAGACGAAGGCTCGAAGACAACATATCACAAACATCAGAAATAGACAACCCTCCTGCTTTTGTAATAAGCAGAGAGAAACTGAACCACACTGTGACAACTAGAAATGTCTGTGGGAAAGGTGGCAGAGGAAGACAACGTGAACAGATTCTTGACAGCCTTTTATCGTGGCACTAAGGAGCCACAACAGATTTACTGATACACCGGTTGTTGATCGCAGACTTTGGAGAGGCATCATCGCCCACGCCATTCGCAAGGCACTTGATGATGACGATCTTGATAATGATGATGATGAAAGTAAGGGGACCTGGGCTGGGAAAAGCTTCTAAATTCGGAAAAAAATATGTTCTTTTCAGGCCACATAGAGAAAATCCCCTCGGCGAAGGAGTGGTCCTGATGCTTTCGAAAGAGCCAGAGAGGGCTCTAAAAGAATGGGAAGCAGTGAGTTCTATTATAATGAAAGCGTCATTCAGAAGAATGAAACAGAAAGTGAAAATGTCGGTAATGCAGAGTTATACATCAACAAATGATAATGATGAACTTGGAAAGGAGGATATTGCAGCCTTAAAATACTATAAGCAACAAAAAAGCCATATAAATTGTTTTATGCCTTACATGCTAGAATAGAATAAGATAACGTAGGTTATGTATGAAGAGGTTATGAGAACACATAGACTAAGAGTAACAATTAAAAATGAAAAATCATTCACTGGTATGTGTGCAGGTAACAAGTTTTTTATTGACGAAAACATCTTCCCAAAAAAAAATAGATAACACAAGGTAATATAGGAATCAGCAGACCATAAAACAACCAATCAAATTCATTGTGAATGAATACATAATCAAATTAAGATAATTACTGTACGATGTTAGGGTTTGTAAAGGTGCTAATTCATGATCTACCCAAAAACTGTTGTCAGTACTTTTTGGTAAAGTAAAATACTCACAATTGTAAAACTATAAATGGTGGTCCAAAGGACAGTATCTATAGAAGCTTGCTCTCCTACGCAACACGCCTGACCAAATAAGAGGAAGCTGAAACAAATGATTAAACACATGGGGGGAAAAGGCAAGAAGTACACAGAAAACAACAGGGTAGAGAAAAGGCGGTCTGATTCAAAGAAAGGAAGCATCAAGCCCAGAGACGGCGCAAATACTAAACTATAGTCACGAAAGTGACGCAAATAAACCAGACCACAAATATAGACGGAGACTGTTAGCAGCCTCGGCTAGCTAGCAGCAATCTGAAAGTGGTCGAACTTTACATTGTTTTCTTAAAAGAAATCGGAATCAGAATGCTGATTCGTTTACTGAGCATTATCTGTTTGTGAACAAAATCAAGTTGAAACTTAACAGACAAACAAACATCTTACCAACATAGAAACAAATATAATGCAGAATATCTCACGGTTGGCAATCTTAAGGAACGATTTTAAGTTACAGTTTTCAAAAAGTATCAGATCTGCAACAGATTTCTGAGAGGGCAAGCACTGAAGTCTGCTGGGAACAGATAAAGGGAATGAGGAATGAAAAAAAAAATGTTCCAAGAAAGGAGGGTGAAAAATTAGTCTGACCGAAACAATATCAAAAGTAGAGCTGTTATTTAAGCTCATGAAAAATGCACAGAAGCTAATACAAAAGGAAATAATTAGGTTATCTAGAACAGTAAGAAGCAGAGACAGCAGCAGCAAAAGGAAACCTCGGGAACATTTACAGCATTACAAGGAAATTAGTAAGTTAATTCAGTTAGCGAACTGGATACATTAAACAAAAAGTCAAGGAAAGGTTTTCACCAACAGTAAAGATGAAACAGAAGATGGGTTGAACATATGAAAGTATTACTGAAGAAATCAGTCCTTGAGGTTCTCTAGATGTCCAGCCTTTAGAAATGGAACTGGATATAAACTCCGATATGCTATCTAAAGAGGAAATTAAATCTCTCAATCTTCTAAAAAAAGGAAATGCTGTTTGTCAAGATGGTATTTCAGCAGAAGTCATTAAAAGGATAGTATAAAGTCATCTACTGAAATGCTAGCCATATTTTAAGTAAAGTCTGAGAGACATAATTAAGTGATTGGAGAGAACAATCTATAATATTGTCATCCCTTTGAGAGATATAATTTTTCATTTGAAGCCCTACTCTGGCTCTTGCCAGGGGCCACAATATAGCACGGCCATAAATATAGTCTAATGGCTGAAGGCGGTTCCTGGGACCTCTCCACGGGTGATCCTCATCTACATAGTGGCACTTTGTGTCATCGGGTGTTTAACGCTTGTGTGATGTCCTGGTGGGGTTAAAGAAGACAAACACAATAGACAGAGAACAATCTTGTGAAACTGCTCAGAAAGGGATTTATGTTACTGACATTTCAAGGAAAATTTTTTATAAGCAATAAGAGACAAAGGCAGAAGACAGAAGAAGAAAATGTATACTTAGTCACACTAAAGTTCTATTGTGTAAAGTAGTTATTGCACCGAAAATTACCAAAGCAATGGACATTAAGCAAAGAATAGTGTTCACGGTGTACCAGCGCTTGATCGTCTCTATGAAGGTATATGAACTGGGACGGCTCACCCTTTCAAAGAGTCAGCTGTAAAAAAAATTTTTTTCAGGATAACATCATTTGCGTTGTCTTTGTTGAAATTGATAAGTCCAGCATATTTTAAGCAATAAAGCTAAGCATAAAATATTTTTCACTCCTTTAGCATGTGCTGCTTTTCAAATAAGTGAATGGAACAAACAAACAAACAAAACACTCAAATGATGTTGTTGACCACATTATTACGATATTGTTCAGCAAAGTCAACGTATCATAATTTGTCATTTCGAAGACAGGATTCACCAAGGCACTGCTTTATTTTCATATTGTCGCACATAATAAAAAGAAACCATTAGAAACTGTGAGAACTGAAGTGGTTTAAGCCAGACTGTGGCAGTACTTCTAAGGACTACTGTCAGAATTAAACAAAGAAAGCCAACTCGATTTTAAAAAAAACATTACATGGCGGGATATTCTAGGGACTAGACCCTCTCTGGATTACAACCATTTACAAAAGCGATAGTCGAGTCAGAACGGAAAAACATCAAAAGAAATGTATCATAGGTGAGAGAGATATCCTAGCAAGGTCCCCAATTATTAACGGTTCCGTAGTTTGAAAGTGGGTAATCTTTACTGTAAACAGTACTGGAGCATAGGACAGTTAAATCATTGCCTTGTTTGAGATAAGTAAATCTAAAGTTATTTCCTGGCAGTTTTCTTACCCTTAAACCGATTAAGCGAAATAAGTCCAAGCTCCAACTTCACCACTGTCCTGTCCCTATAATAGTTCAGTCCCCTACCAGTGCAAAATCTCAATAAAATTCCATCTCTGCTCCTTTTGAAAAACTAATGGAAACTCATTTGTCCAAGAAAAATTGTGAAGCTCGAAAAAGCTACATTAATGTAAACGGCAGCCGTCGTATGTGCCAACGCTAACAGTGTCTCACAAGAACTACAACCCACAGCAGATGCAAGCAGGCCATCACGAAAGCCGGTATATGTACACGGCATTCCAGACGTAATCGGCAACCCACTATTTTTAGTCCCATTTACAACACAGCTCAGCATCGTGCTTACACAAACACACACACATACAAACACACACACATACATACACACATAAATATATATATATATATATATATATATATATATATATATATATATATATATATATATATATATATATATATATATATTTACACACACAAACACAACATTCCAAAAAATCTCCAATTCTCACAGTGTTGCACCAAGCAATCAGCTCAGTAGCTGGGCGAACCAAAACTTGTAGTATGGTTCTGGATAGGGCGATATATCTTATGACATGGGCATACCTTTCTATTTTGTGTCCGTATGTTTTTGTTAAAAGAGCTAACTAAAAAGCTATATAAAAAACATGTTTAGAAAAAGGAACGAGAAAACAACATTCTACATGAAGTGCGGGTAACTACATCATCATGTTAACTAATTTTACAGAAGTTGATTTTTTTTCATATTTGACGACCTTACTATTGAAACAACAATGACTTCAGTTACAGCCACAATCGCTGCGTTAGCTGGAGCCATTTCCATGATTGGTATAGCGTCTAACTTAATAAGTATTCTAGTCTTCATGAAGCAAGGAGTTTTAGAGAACACAAATATCAGCTATACCGCACTTGCTATTTCTGATTTACTATCTCTGGTGGCGACGTTGTGCTTGAGTATATTCTGGAATCAGTGGTTCTTGAATTCAGGACTATCACCTGAATTTATAGAAACAGAGGCGGCATTTGCTAGTTTACCCTACGCTTGTTTCAGTAGAATTACAGGACTGGTGACTGCTTTCATAACGTTTGAACGATGTATGTGTGTGGTCTGGCCACTGAAGGTTAAAAGGATCTTGACGTCGGCAGTCACAACAATGTTCATTGTTTCTATGTATTTCATAATGTGTCTTACCATGGTACCTGTCTATTCAACATTAACACTTGGCTGGAGATTTGACCCCTGGACAAACATGACTTTTCTGAGGGTGTTTTCTGGCGAAAATGCTTCAATAATATCTGATATTTCATTCTTGCTCCATGTAGTCATCCAGTTAGCTGCATTTTTTGCAGTTTTAATTTTCACTGTAGCACTTGTTTTCTGTCTAAGACAAAAGGCCGCATGGAGAACACAGCAGACCAAAGCGCAGAATGCAATCAAGAATGCAACAAAACAAGAAAAAGCGATAAAAATGGTAATTATGATCGCTGCAACTTACGTAGCTTGTTATTTACCCCCTGTCGTTGGTATTACTTTAACAGTTCTATATCCACATTTTAGCCCTCTAGGTAAATACAAAAACATTTTCTTTGTTTTCTGGTCTTTGTTTGTGCTCTTCGGAGCCCTAAACTCGTCGGTCAACTTACTAGTGTACTACGTCATGAGTTCCAAGTTCAGACGGACATGTCAAAAGATGCTTGCACTGCTGCGCAAAGCAGAATTATGAAACAAATTATTAGAGCATAAAAGAACTTTGCATTTGGTATCAATTAAATTGTCGTACATTGCATACGTCGTGTTAGTGCTTTATATTTATGTTTCACTTCTTCTTCTCCAACGATCAGAGCATCACGTAGATCTAAATCCCACTCTGGTCACTAACAGGTCCGTTCATTTGGGGTTTCAACGGTGTTCTGCAGTTCACCTTGTAAGGTATACTCCGCCCTCCCCCTTTCTCAGCAACAGTGATATGTTGAGACTTGTAAGACGTGCTCTAGTATTTGCTTTGATGAACTACAGCTACAACATAGAACCAAGGTGCCGAAATTTTGCGCAGAAAGCCACTCGATGCCACCACCCCCCCCCCCCCCCCGAAAATTAGTAATGGGGCAAAGCAGCTGTCTAACTATATATAGAAAAATCCCCCCCCCCCCCAAACTTTTCCTCCCAGTTTTTTTGTGTGTACACACTTCATTTCAATGAAATATTAGTAAAAAATTATTATATTTACAGCTCAATATTATTATTATGCACTTTGAAAAGTGCTTTGGCTTTTTAGAACCCTTCTGAAACAGCCGCTGGACGACTGTTATATAAATTGAATTAGGCTTATTTAAGCGAGCTAAAAACCTGGCCAACTTGGGGGGTCAGGAAGTGATAAAACAGACGGGAGTGACCAGATCGCTCTCTTAGGCTCACTGGTTTTAGGACGAGAAACATGTAGTTCTGATTTGTCCGTTGCGTTCAATGATTTTGCGCAACGTGGGGTGAGGTGTGTAGAGAGAAAGATAGGTTCCATCTATTGTAGGGTATTTTCGAGCACGTTGTGAATTGTAATGCATTATTATTTGTGAAGACCGTAGATGATGTTCAGTGAAATAAATAGATGTGAATTTGATAATTATAGTTCCAGTTGCTTTGCTTCAGATTAGGGTTTGTGGTTAGTGTGTGTAGTTTGTTTATTTGTTACCTGGCTTATTAGACTTTACACAGAAGATCTTGTGTCTGGACTAGAAAATCCCTGTTTCTAGTCCCCACCTAAACGAACTATTTTCCTTTATTTTTTATCTTGGTACTTAGGGCTTCTTCACCCTAGTACAAATGGCGTCGTCGGCAGGATTGGTGGCCGCAAGATACTTTGTGTCTTGTCTAGTTAGTTCTGGTAATTCTAGCGATTTATAGTTTTAGATTGGTTTTTAATGGCGCCCACGTGTATGGCTCCTTTATCGCAGATTTTGGGTATGGTATTTGTCGCTTTTCTAGTTCTCCGACAGTTGTCGAGTTAGTGTATTTGTTCGGTTATTAGTAGAGAAGGTGGCTAGTAGTTTTCCTCGAGTAGGTGTGAATCTTAGATTTAGAAATAGCTAGCCGACCCAGTGGGGCAGATTCAGTTGAAACTCCTAAGCAAGATGGAGGAGAGCACTCGTGCGAGCAGTAACGTGCACCATGAAGGTAGTTGTCCGACCTCGGTGGTGGAAGGGTCCTGTTTGCCAGACAGACCAGGGTACAGGCATGTTATTATGTTGCCAGAGCGCGTAAACATAACGCACTTTGATGGGACAGGAGGCCCCACGGTTACAGATGATTTTGTTCGACAAGTGAGAGCCTTGTTTAGAAATGAACGAACGTGTCCGGCAGACCAGATTGATGTAGTGCTCGATCACGTCACAGCGAGTGTCAGACAAGAGTTAAAGTTACATCAGACAGAGAATGCCAACGATTTGCTAGATATCATACAACACGTGTATGGAGAGCATCGAAGCGTTGTTGAACTAGCATCTGAGTTTTTTTCCCTACGGCACGGTGAGAATGAGACGATCCGTTATTTTTCTCATAGTATGCATGCGGCATTTGAGGCGATAATTACCGCACAGAAGAAAGAGAACATGACGCTTTTTGATACGTCGATCTTAAGAGATCAGTTTATCTTACAATTGCGAGATACGATTTGTAGAAAATTAGCACAAGAGAAAGTTTACCAAGACCCAAGTGTGACTTTTCTATCTATCAGAGATTTTGCCATTAGATGGGTTCGTGACGATTTGTTCTTTAAGAAAGTGGTGTTAAATAATGAATCAGCGGTGCAGGTGAATGCTGTGAATTCTTTAGTGTCGTCAAATGTGAAGGGTGAGTTGGACTTTTTAACATCTGAGATAAAGCACCTGAAAGAACATTTAGCTGTTTTATCACAACACAAGAAACGGCGTAAGCGATGTTTTATTTGTCAGTCGTCATCCCATTTAATGAATGCCTGTCAAAGAAGAACAGTCGGCGAAGTTCGGCACCCTATTTATGTGCAGAGGCAAGAAGCGGCTAACTATAGTTAGAACAGAACTCGCCAAGTGTGGCGTCGGAGCCCACATGGCCCCGCTCGAGTCGTGCCCCCGGCAGATTTAAACGGACTCTCTTGTGTAGTTTCTTGTGAGAGGCCCGGCGATAAACAGGTTTGCAGTCAGAGTGACGCGCCGTCAAAACACACGAGGGGGAGACGGAGGAAGAAAAGTTCGCAAGCTCCTAGTGACGACTCGCCTAATCAAACACAGAACAACGAGAATTCAGTTCCGGTCAATCAGTTGTGCACTGAGTTATCTAGCAATGAACAGTCTACTTTAAAGACCGTTGAAACTGTCAGATATCAGGTCGGGGATAAAGTCAATTTAAAACTCGAACAGGAAGAAGGTGATACCAATGAAGCGTGGTCAGACGAAATTTATGTTATTCTTCGCGCTCCTACTGAGTCGCGACCACAGTATGTGTTGACTAGCAGACAGCAGAATAAACTGCGACTCTTAGTAGACGAGGAGGAGTTAAGGAAATGTGTTGCGAACTGTTGACCTAATTAGTTGTGTGCAGAAAGATCAGCTGGTCAAGGTGTGCCTGTTGTTCGCGGTGTTTGCGCGATGCTAGGAGTGTTTTCTTTCTATTGCGACCTAAACTTGGGGTCAGATTATTTGTTTTATGTCTCCGTGACCGGTTTAACTGTAGGTCTTTTCATATAGGGAGTCATGTGTGAATTACACTGACCGACCGAAGTATGCAGTGAAGTTTTTATAACATTGCAGTGACCCATACGTCCATTTGTAGGCCTTCGGCCGAGGTAACGTTGTCCGATCAGTCCATCGTAAGCTCACGCAGAGCTGAGGTATGTCCGATCAGTCCATTGTAAGCTCACGCAGAGCTGAGGTATGTCCGATCAGTCCATTGTAAGCTCATGCAGAGCTGAGGTATGTCCGATCAGTCCATTGTAAGCTCACGCAGAGCTGAGGTATGTCCGATCAGTCCATTGTAAGCTCACGCAGAGCTGAGGTATGTCCGATCAGGCTTTGTCAAAACTGAGGTAAAATTTTGGAAAGTCCTTTAAGCGTCACGCGGTGGTGACAAAGGCAAACTTCTTTGTGTCACGCGGTGGTGACCAGGACAAACTTCTTTGTGTCACGCGGTGGTGGCAAAGGCAAACTTCTTTGTGTCACGCGGTGGTGACAAGGGCAAACTTCTTTGTGTCACGCGGTGGTGACAAGGGCAAACTTCTTTGTGTCACGCAGTGGTGGCAAAGGCAAACTTCTTTGTGTCACGCGGTGGTGACCAGGACAAACTTCTTTATGTCACGCGGTGGTGGCAAAGTGTGGTGGAAACAGTCCAATGTAAGCCCCGCGGCTGAGGTAATCAACAAATGAAAGAACCTGCCTGCCAAGAATTGCTGGATGTCAGAGGAAGCAGCTACTCAAGAATCCTGATGTTTACTGATCACGATGTATTCGATTATTTTTGCATTTTTGTGTTTTTTTTTTTTATATTGCAGATTTTCTTGTTGTGTGTTATTGACGATTGTGTACATGTTAAAGATGCTGCAAGTAGCTAGAGATTATGTTATGTCATGAAAATAATTTTGTTTCTGTTGTCAATGCACAGTAAATGAAGAACAGGAGTTAAGGAAGAATTGGTAAACAATTATTGTTAGGTATTGTGTAGTTGTCGGGTCGCCAACAGATTTGATGAGGAGACGTGAAACAGCCGCTGGACGACTGTTATATAAATTGAATTAGGCTTATTTAAGCGAGCTAAAAACCTGGCCAACTTGGGGGGTCAGGAAGTGATAAAACAGACGGGAGTGACCAGATCGCTCTCTTAGGCTCACTGGTTTTAGGACGAGAAACATGTAGTTCTGATTTGTCCGTTGCGTTCAATGATTTTGCGCAACGTGGGGTGAGGTGTGTAGAGAGAAAGATAGGTTCCATCTATTGTAGGGTATTTTCGAGCACGTTGTGAATTGTAATGCATTATTATTTGTGAAGACCGTAGATGATGTTCAGTGAAATAAATAGATGTGAATTTGATAATTATAGTTCCAGTTGCTTTGCTTCAGATTAGGGTTTGTGGTTAGTGTGTGTAGTTTGTTTATTTGTTACCTGGCTTATTAGACTTTACACAGAAGATCTTGTGTCTGGACTAGAAAATCCCTGTTTCTAGTCCCCACCTAAACGAACTATTTTCCTTTATTTTTTATCTTGGTACTTAGGGCTTCTCCACCCTAGTACACTTCTTAAACACAATATTAAATAGAACGGAGGATCTTCTTTCCGCCCTCCCCCATACCAATGCAGCCGCCCTTATATGGGTGAGAGTCCGGGCAACTCTTTTTCTAAATACTCTAAACTTTATACAATCACCTTTTAACGATTGAACAGGCACAGAGATAATAGGCCGTGATTTTACCATCAGTTAAAATGTTTTATTGTAAAGCATCTGGCAGGTGGTACATTCAACAATGCCATAACACAAAGTTCCTACAGTTTGGTCCCTGTCCTTTTGGAGATTACTTGTATAATCCATTTACAAATATTGTCAGCGCCAAGTACCAGTGAATGAATAATTCACGACATAACATTCTCTCTCTCTTTCCTAACACGACTCTGGTTTATTAGTTAAAATCCCCTTTCACCACAAGCTAAATAATGATAGACAAAAGTGGCTGTCCAATCCCTAATGATCTCCTTATAAGCATGTCGT